GGCCTGCCAGGACAGGTGTGTGTTTGTTGGTGTGTGTATGTGCGTGTAGGGTGGGGATGAGTATGTGTTTGTGGGTGTGTGTATGTGTGTGTGGGGTGGAGATGGGATGAGGGGGGGGGGGCAGTTATATCGGTAAAAGGAGGAACCGCCACCAGGGATTAGAACGTTGTCAGTGAACGTTGGGAAAACAACCAAGTCTCTCCGTCTCAGAGTCCACTGCGATATCTGGCCCAGCCCGTCCTTTGGAACACACAATCTTATCTAGGTCATTATACAGAAGTGAGAGAAAAAATAATGTATTATCTTTCTTTGTTCGGGGGATACATATACGCCCTCTCCCTATTCGTCTGTCGTGTGTCTGAGACTTTGTACCGAAACCTTTATAGCAATCATTAACCGGATCAACGGTCAACCAGATGTTATCACAACTAGGTACTCTGTAATATAATCTTATCTGCCAAGAGCCATTATAATGTCTGTCATTTATCAGATACACCCCTGTCTACAACACACTTGTCAACCTGCTCTAACGGCCAACTGTCCAAGACAATCACCTGAGCACTGAGCACGCGACTACTTTCTACTTCCGCTCGTGGAAACGAGTGAGCGGGTGGTTGGAGGGCGCCTCTGATAGGTCCTACTTTTTTACTTTCCCTCTGTTGTCTGTGTTACTGTTTCTCAGCACTAAATGACCATTATTGTTGCTTCTCTTTACTCAAATAAACCACTGGTAAGTCCTACTTCTTTACTTTCCCTTTGTTGTTTCTGTCTGTCTATCTGTCTTACCTTTTTCGAGCCCAAATGACCATTATTGTGCCGATGTGCTTCTCTTTACAAAAAAAAAAAAAGGGAATGAGTGACATAATGTGTTGTCGTTGTTTCCTCCCCCCTCCCGCCCACAGTTCCCGGGTCTGCGGGAAGAAGGACGAGAGTTTGACTACGAGAACGCCAGAACCTACAAGTACTTCCACCGGGTCTGGGTGGGTCCATTCACCCCGCTAGTGGCCCCGTCTACCACCCGGACTCCCTCAGGACGATCATACACTCCACCTGTACGCTCTCCCCCGCCCCCCCCCCCCGTCCGTCCATCTCTCCTGAACACTCTTCCCTCCCTCCCTCCCTCCGTCTACCTGTACGCTCTCCCTCCCTCCCTCCCTCCTTCCGTCTATCTGTACGCTCTCCCTCCCTCCCTCCCTCCTTCCGTCTCTCCAGTATGTTATGTTCGTCTATCTGTACGCTCTCTGTCCCTTCCCCCTGCCCGTCTCTCCTGTATCTGTCTGTTAATCTGTCCGCTATTCTTCCTTCCCCCGTCTGTCTCTCCTGCATATTATTATGTTCGTCTATCTGTACGCTCACCGTCCCTCCCTCCATCTGTCTCCCCCGTATCTGTCCGTCTACCTGTTCACTATTCCTCCCTCCCTCCGTCCGTCTCTCCTGTATATGTTCGTCTATCTGTATGGTCTCCGTCCATTCCTCCCTCCATCTGTCTCTCCTGTTTTTGTCCGTCTGTCTGTTCACTATTCGTCCCTCCGTCCGTCCATCTCTCCTGAACCTGTCCGTCTGTCTGTTCATTATTTGGCCCTCCGTCCCTCCATCTCTCCTGAACCTGTCCGTCTGTCTGTTCATTATTTGGCCCTCCGTCCCTCCATCTCTCCTGAACCTGTCCGTCTGTCTGTTCATTATTTGGCCCTCCGTCCGTCCATCTCTCCTGAACCTGTCCGTCTGTCTGTTCACTATTCGTCCCTCCGTCCGCCCATCTCTCCTGAACCTGTCGGTCTGTCTGTTCATTATTTGGCCCTCCGTCTGTCCATCTCTCCTGAACCTGTCCGTCTGTCTGTTCATTATTTGGCCCTCCGTCTGTCCATCTGTCCTGCTATTTGTCTGTCTTTCTATCCGCTATTCGTCTGTCTATCTATTTTCACAGTCATCATTCTTTTTTTCTTTTGATTCTATCTATCTATCTATCTATCTATCTATCTATCTATCTATCTATCTATCTATCT